GAGCTGCACTGCTGCAGGTTAGAGCTGCATTACTGCAGGTTAGAGCTGCATTACTGCAGGTTAGAGCTGCATTACTGCAGGTCAGAGCTGCACTGCTGCAGGTCTGAGCTGCGTTACTGCAGGTCAGAGCTGCATTACTGCAGGTCAGAGCTGCATTACCGCAGGTTAGAGCTGCACTGCTGCAGGTTAGAGCTGCACTGCCGCAGGTCAGAGCTGCATTACTGCAGGTCAGAGCTGCATTACTGCAGGTCAGAGCTGCATTACTGCAGGTCAGAGCTGCATTGCTGCAGGTCAGAGCTGCATTACTGCAGGTCAGAGCTGCATTGCTGCAGGTCAGAGCTGCATTGCTGCAGGTTAGAGCTGCACCGATGCAGGTTAGAGCTGCACCGATGCAGGTCAGAGCTGCGTTACTGTAGGTCAGAGCTGCACTGCTGTGCGTGGCTGAGTTTTCTTTGCATGCTGACGAGCACAGCCAAGCTCTGACTGTATGTCGTTACCTGGACGAAGCCAAACATGTTGGTTTAACAGATGCACACTGACATGTTCCACATAAAACGACCTTTAGTTTGTGTCACAGTGAAGTTTCCCCCGTGAACTTCTAGCATTGTGTCGATGCGTGCTGATTGGTTTGTTCCTGCTTTCATGGTAGCAGATCTAACAGGTACTAACGAGCTGTTAGAAACCACAACACAAACCTCTGTGTGTAGAAGACGCACTTTTTTAGGTACAAGTACACATGCAAATATATTGATAAGGACATTGTGTAGCGTGTATACAACAGACTCGAACGCCTTGTGAACTTTAGATGTCTGCGATGACAAATGAATGATTCCTGTAACTTGTTAACTGTGGATGAACTTGCTGTGATACAAACGTGACACAAACGTGACACATGTTGTGTGTTTTTCAGAAATACGTTGCCGTTGGAGAGTTTGGAAAAGCAACAGACACTCTTGATGCCACCGGCAGCGTGACTCTGGAGAAAGGTTTTGGTAAATGGTGTAAATCGGTTCATTCGATCTTTCAGATGCAGGAGAATCTGCAAACTTCGGTTTCTCCTTTACGTCTGTCTCTCAGTGACTCGTGTTTTCATACATTTTCTAGAACACATAACCAGGCTGGACGTGGAGGAAAAGCTGAAAGCTTTCACTGGTGACATCATGCAAGTGCCTCCGCTGTGAGTACGGCTTCTGGGAGTCAACATCCAAACATCTGAAGCATTAATTAGATCAAACCAAACGTTTATTTCTTAAGATGAAATCTTCTTTTACAGAAAACGAAACCTAAACGTGTCAGAGCAGCAGCTCTTCACGTCCTCTGTTTCTGTGCTTGTTTGGGATGGTGTTGGATTTGATGGTAGATGTCTAAACGTGGGGGTCATGTGAGTTTCCTTTTTGGGGGCTGCAGTCATTTAGCAGCTCCGTGGTGCAGTGGTTCGATGCTTACCTTACATGAAGGTGCATGAATTGAACAGCGATGACAGCTGTGGACGGTTCATCTTCGATGTGGATTTCCAGCTTTATCACAGACACTTCCAGGTTGCCAGGTTGGCTGATGCAGCCGGGAAATTCAAATCAGGGAACCACAAAATGACTGTGATTGTTAAAATAGGTCTACATGTCCATGTGTGGAGAAACTGTTTCCATTTTCTGAGGAGCATTAGCCGTGCCATCGTTTTGAGTCCACACAAGCAAAGATGAGAATCAGAAAAGGTTTTGTTGCCAAATGTTGAGCAGGTTTACAACATTAGGAAATGAAGGCAAACACTTAAATAAACATAAAAATGAAAAGTGCTGCAGATTAATATATACATGTGTGCAAAAGTGAAACAGATGCAGAGAAGTATGGGACCATGTGTTAGGGGTGGGACCAGTCATACGGTTATTGTTCATGAGTCCAACAGCAGAGGAGAAACTGCTCTGGTGCGAATGGACCGGAGCCTCCTGCCTGAGGGGAGCAGGTCAAACAGACCAGGGTGAGAAGGGTCAGCTGTGATCCCAGCTGCACGCCCCAGAGTCCTGCAGGTGCACAGGTCCTGCAGAGATGGGAGTCTGCAGCCAATCACCTTCACAGCAGAGCACACAACACGCTGCAGTAGACGCCAGAGGCTTGAACCAGTGGCTGAAATGAAACCAGTTTTCTTTGAATGTGCAGCCAGTTTGATGGCACGTTACAGGTCAATGATATGATCAGAGATTGTTGTAAAGGCTAAGAAGTGACGTGTGGGCTCACTGAGGGCGGAGTGTGGACCCGGTTCTGTGTGAAGATGCTCTGAGATCTAAATGTCCAGCTGCAGTAAACTGATCGTGTGTCCTTCAATGCCGTTCTGGGAGAATGAATGAAAGGCCTCTCAATGATCCAGCTTTCAAAGTTCTTTAAACATTTGAGGGTTTTTGTCTTATTAATGTAGCGCAGTGACCCATGAAGCCTCTGGAGGTCACTGTTCGCTCACTGCCTCCACTGCAGTGCTGATTCACGGGTAAATGGTTCACTGATGCAGGAGCAGTGCCTCTGTGTCGTTATACATGGAGTTTATATAAAAACAGTTCTTAGTGCTAAATGTGTATATTTTTAACTCTTTTCTTATAATCGTTTTAGATACTCGGCATTAAAAAAGGATGGCCAGCGTCTGTCTGTCCTGCTGAAGAAAGGTCACAAGGTCGATGCCAAACCGGCCCGGCCGGTCACGGTGTACAACCTGACCCTGCAGGAGTTCCAGCCTCCTCTCTTCACTCTGGGTTCGACACGTTGCCTCACACAGCGACTCCTCTCAAACTTGGTGTTGTGTCCTCTTTGGCTGAATGTTTCGCTTTCCTTCGTGTTGCAGATATTGAGTGTGGTGGTGGGTTCTACGTCAGAAGTTTGGTGGATGACCTGGGAAAAGGTGAGACTGCCTTCCACCTGTTTCACCTTTCCATCGACGGCGTGTCGCTGAGTAACGCTGTCTGTGTGCTGCAGCTCTGTCCTCTTGCGCTCATGTGAAGGAGCTGACCAGGACAAAGCAGGGCCCGTTCACGCTGGAGGAGCACGCCTTACACGAGGAGCAGTGGACGCTGGAACACGTCCTGCGCTCGCTGAAGACCTGCTCAGAGGGAGAGCAGCAGGAGGAGCATCTGAAGCCAAAGAAGGTAGTCACCTGACCGGGACCAGGATCCAGAGGGGAGAGGAAGGGTTTCCTTTCATGTAAAGACTGGTTTTTGGTTCATACTCTTCAGTTTTAGTTACATGTGTGGTTCAAGGTTTGAACATCATGACATTAAAAGTTGTAAAGCAAACAGTTAGAATGAGAAACGTGAGCAGACTCAGCAGGTGTTGCTTGACCTGCACACATTTGTGAAGAGTAAATAACCTGATCGTACGATCGGCGAGGAGCTCCGAGGGAACGGCGAGATCAGTGTGATCAGAGTTTTTGTTGTAAGTTTAGGATCTGATTTGTTTTCTAGGTGCCTGCACTCAGTTCACTGATGTAAAAATGTCTTTTACAAAGTCTTCCTGCTCCGTGCAGTGATGCACATGCTTCAGTAAAACAGCCTCTGAGCTCCTCTAACCTCCCGTGTGGACTGTTATTTCTGTGCTTCTGAGCCTCCCACTACAATGAAGACATCCACAGGTGAAACTCGAAGAATTCAAATATCGTGCAAAATGTGGCCACAGTCTAACACCTCAGCAGCGCCACAGCTGATAGCATCCACGCCACGCTGCATTGACGCAGTAATTCATGCAAAAGGGGCCCAAACAAGTGCAGACTGCGTATGCATGGTTATACTTATTCTAATTTTCCGAGTATCGCCTGCTGCTTTATGTCCATAGCGCATGCTCTGTGCCGTTTCTCACTGTTACCGGTTCCTCGGTCATTGCA